CACATAGAGCCGCTCTCTCCACTGCCACAGTGTAGTGGGTAGTGGAAACAAACACACCCGTCAGAGTTTCCCCTCAATGATCCTCAACTGGCTGGAAGAAGTCAAGTAATCTGTCTAATGGCAAACGTGACAATGATGTGACATCATATTTAAAATAGCTATGAAAAGGACAATTACATACATAGTGCCGCTATAGCAATGCTCACGGTAAAGACAAAATCAAAGTGAAAACCAAAGTAGAGACTGGGAGAACGTGCAAACTACACTCAGAATGATCCCGCAGTTTGAACCATGGTCGTTCATGCTACCTCCAAACAGCAAATACTGAAGGAAAAACCTTTTCGGAGACAGTTGAAGTAAAGACACGTAACTTAATGTGAAACACTTTGTCTGTAAATCATTCAAGACTGTTCTCTGCCTCGTGGATCTGCTGTCACCTGCTACGCTCAGGTTTTTCCTCCAGTACTCAATATCCATTATTGTCAGTTTTTGCACTGGGAAGAGTAAAAACCCAAGACACAGAAAAAGAATAACACAGAAACCACGGTGGGTAAAATTAAACCACATTGATAAATTGTCAGAGCTGCCAATTTAGATAATTTGGGAGTTTTGAATCAGCATTGAAAGGCCGTTAAATGACTCCACTTTTCCCCATAGGAAAAAATAAATAAATACAGGGCAGATGGCAGAGGGGAGCAGAGACACAGGAAGAAACAAGAGAGAGCCACAAGAGAGAAGTTTAGAGATGGATGATGATGACGAAGAAAGACGAAGGGAGGTAATGATTGGAAGACATCCAGAGCCACATGGATAAAGGCATGAAAGAGCAGCACAGAGAGAAAAACTGAAATTTTTTTTTGGGAGAGCTGTAAAAGTCTGGAGGAGTCACAGAAGGACAGAGGAGAAGAAGGAAGAAAAGACCAGAAGACGATGAGATGGTCTCGAAGCCGGGGGGGCTGAGGTCAGGATCCGACCCTGTGGTGTCCCGTGGTAATTGAAATTAGGTGGGGGAGGCGGGGGAGGGGTGGAGGGGCAGCAGCGACTGGAGGAAGCAGGCGACATGATAATCAATTTGAAGCTGAATCGGAAACATGAGCCACTCGGGGGGCCTCGTTCCCCCTACCAGGCCTCCAGATGGCCCCAGCCCCGACCCTGTGTGTGTCCTGTCAGAGCAGTGTGTGTGTGTGTGTGTGTGTGTGTGTGTGTTTGAGATACAACGCCATCTGCCAAGAGTGCAAAGGGAGTTCAGCAGATGTATTAGCTGACACTAGGTGGCGCAGTAGGGTATAGACAACATACTGTATACGTGTTTGTGTGTGTGCACGCCAGTGGGAGGGGGAACTCCCACCACGCCTGAGTTAAGACGCCGTGTTATCCAAAATGTTTTGGTCACTCCTAACGGATCATGATTATTCAGTGTCGTTGGCTGCGTCACATGAATAAGACGTTAATACTTCACCTCATCCGTTTAAAAACATCTCGGTGGTAGATGTTCATTGGCAATGATGGTGAAGACAACAACCCCCATGATCCCTCACTGCTTCACGACCACATCAAGCTCTTTTGTTACGGTTTTGATTAAGTGGCCCAAATTCACAGAGTTATGTTTGTCGATATGAAAACTTATAATTCACAGAATGAACTAAGCAGATAAAATGTGAACCTTTGTTAACGCTTCATAATTCAAGTTCTATATGTTTGAGTTTCTTTTTGTTTTATTTCTAAGTTGATGGTCGATGGTTAAATTGTAAAAAGCCTCCGTTGTGTTCCTTTGTCATAAGGTTTGATATCGACATCTTAAGAATCATAAGATTGAACTGGGCTCTACAGAGGAGATGTGGACGTCAGTATTCATGTGTAGAAGCTTTCCCACGTGAAGAGTTCATCTTCAGTTAAGTTCAAATTAAGCCTCAACAAGCCAGAGTAGGTTGTGAGTTCAGTTTTCAGATGACAGCTTAATTTGCTGAGAGTTGAAAGTGACAAATAAACAATGTTTCACAGATGTTAAAGCTGATTTATACAAGTACGACCTGTTTCTCACCTCAGATCTTTTCAGAACCGTTTGGGAGAAACGTGATGTTTTCTGAACAGGTGCCATATTTCAGTGAGTGCTGCTCACATCCAGGCAGGAGGCTTCAGTTTGCTGTGTGAGTGAAGGAGACTGTACATCACCCGTTTTAACGCTTTCTTGATGTGCTGTGTGTCAAGCTGCTGTCAGCCGGGGATGAGCGAGTGCAGTGTATAATAGCAAAACTCGTGATATAAAAAGGATGGAGGGGCCAAGTGCTCGATCAGCTTCACGTACATTAAGTCCAGGACTCCTTTAGGTGCTCGCGAAGATAAATGGTCACAGAAAAGAAGATGTTCTCGAAGCACTCAGGCAGAGTAAGGAGAAAAAGTAAAGCCTTAGTCAGACATTATGGTTTAAAATGTCTACCTGTTGTGACCCCTTCAAAAACTCTCGATACTCCAACCCCAAGTTTTTCTTTCCTTTGTCTATTTTTCTTCCTGCATTGAATGTTTTTTCTTGAGAGATCACAGCGACACATGACCAACGTGAACATATAGAAGACTCAGGCAGAGACGTCAACTTTTGGCGATAAAGGCCGACGCTGCTGTCAAACAAAGACACTCGGCTTTCCTCCGCAGATTTTACACCTTGTATTCGGTCTCGTGTCTTTATTGATCGACTCCTTTCAAACTTTGTTCATCCGCTCAGAGGAGGTCTGCGGGGTCGACAGAGGAGAGTCAGTCCGTCAGTCTTGAGGCAGCTTTTTTATTCATTTGTTCGTTTACGAATCTGATCCCTGAATAAACTGATCCAGAGAAGAAGAGACAGATCGAAGGCAGACATGAGGGCTGGAAAGTTGGAGAGGTGCGTCGGGATTGGAAATGTCTGAGAGGGTTTTGATGCGAGGAAAGAATGAGAAAAGTTTGTTTGTTTGTATGAGTTTCGGTGGTTATGTTTTTTCTACAATGCATTTCAGTCGGCCTAATTTCTGTGGCTCTGCAATTCATTTTTCTATCAAGCATCTATGGGCATGCGTTGCCTGAGGAACCAGCTATGGGCCAAACAAGTGTTGAAGTTTTAATGCTGTGCTGTCAGACAAGTTTTTCAAATATTTCCAGGAACATGATTTAACACCAGAATTCTCTCTGTGTGTGTTTCTGTACTGCAGACTGTCATAAACAGAAAAACCCTTTTCAAAAACCTCATTAGTGCTCCCGTACAAACTGTCATCAATGAAATTACAAATGGCGTTGAAATGTTGTCATTATGCTAATGTTAGTGCATTAACTTTACAGCTTCCCTCTAAATCTCTCATAGTAAAAATGACAGCAGATCAAGTGTAAGCTAAAAGAAAAAGCAAAATCAGTGAATGAATAGAAGCTTCAACATCTCAACATTTAAAGAACGATGCTCCTGTGTCTTAAAACCACTGAAACAACTTGACTATCACAGCTGTTGCAAAACCTACCTTGTGTCAGCTCTGTGATATTAACACAGATCAAATGTCTTAAACATACATTCAGGAGAAACTGCTCTTACTGTTATTCTAATGAAATATGATCATCCTAATGAATGTGAAAACATAGAATAGACACTTGCACTCACCCTGGTTTTATTTGTAACTTTGGATTCCAGCCGTTTGTACAAACAGAATATTTTTAATTGTTATTACTCTCTTTTTTGAATAGCTTCATGTTTACATAGGATTTAATTATGCTTTGCTTTGATTCTGCACGCCACCACGGCGTTTGCTGAAAGGGAAGTGTGTACCAAAGGAGGCGGGACAAACGGAGAGCGGAGAGGGGGGGCAAGTGAAGGGAAGCAGAGCAGCTGGAGGGAAAATGTGAGAAAAGTGAGGTGAAATGGTTGGAGGACAACAAAGGGGAGTTAAGAAATGAAATAGACGATGTGAGCCGGCCGAGGTTTCCCTCAGGGGCCGATGGAGGTTCTGGAAAACATTCATCTGAAGGAATCTCCTCCTCCTTAGCAGAATAACAGCATCGTCTCTGTCACTGATTAATACGTCACTGGACAATCTACTCCCCCCACACTTTCTTACCCTTCCATGTCCATTTTTAATCGTCGTCTCCTCCCTTCCCTCGAAGCGTTGAATCTCTCCGATGCTGTTTTCTTTGCACAACACATCAGCCGATCTACTCTGCCTCCCCCACCGGCAGCCCCCCATTTAAATTGGTGCTTGTTAGACTGAGGGGGAAAAAAATAAATATATATATTTTTTGACTAATTTTTCTCCAAAAGGCAAGATGGAGCTGAAGTCTATGAAAAAGTTAATTAATAGCGGATTGAGGAGAACCTTGGCAATTAGTGGAGGCTGACAGATGAGACACTGCACTGGAGACAGTGATGACTGCAGGAGCTCCTCACACACACACACACACACACACACACACACACACACACACACACACACACACACACACACTGCCGGGTTAGCCTGCAGCAGCGGTTTTCAAACTTGTCTGCCGAAGCCCCACCTGTATTCTTCTTCATGCAAAACCCCCGTTATTAACATTTGTACCTGTATTTTTTATTATTTCTTGGGGTAAAGAAGTTACCTCTGTTATGAGAAATGAGTCCATGGAAATAACTGATAGTGATTCATAACTTCTCGTGTCAGGGCTCCAGACTAACTTTTTTTCATTTAGGTGCACCCACATTTTTTTCACGGCGTCTTTTGGCACCGCAGTAATTAATAAATAATAACCAATTATACCTTTTCTTTCTTGACAGTTCCCATTTGCATCGGTAATGTCTCTACTCAGGCTTTGACAACTGTCTAAGGATCTTTGCTGCAGATTGGTGAAATGTCTGACATAGTTGTTCTGAAGCATATTAGAAATTCCCAAATTGTGCCTATTTATCTGATATAATACTTATTTACTTGTTGTTCACCGTGACTGACACGTCACCATCCTGATAAACTCTGCGTCACTCTCACCCTCTCTTTCCCTCCTCCTCTCGTCTGTAGGTGAGCCTGCGGTAGCGAGAGAGAACAACTGTCTGAACGCTGCCAAAGCCTGCAACCTGAATGACACGTGTAAGAAGTACCGCTCGTCCTACATCAGCCCCTGCACCAGCCGCGTCTCCACCGCCGAAGTCTGCAACAAGAGGAAGTGTCACAAGGCCCTGCGGCAGTTCTTTGACAAGGCAAGGCTCATCTGACGCGGGCTTATCAAAGAAACCGAAGAAAAATGTATCAGAAAGAACAGACGCTGGAGGTTTTACAAACAACTGATGTGTGATAAAAGCTGAACGTATATATATCACAAAGGACCGGCTTCAGAGGGGAGAAGGATTTGAAGTGGTGGAGTTAAAGGGGTTGTCAAAATCACAATAAATAATCATGTGGGCCTTTTTGCTCTGGGTCGGATTCTGCAGCACTTAACTTTGACATTGATTCCGTCATCAAACACAGAAGATGTTTTCACTCTCGGCGTCGTTTCATATAAAAACTGATGTGAAACAGTGTAATTACAACCCGGCTCCTGTGATGTCCCCTGTACTGGGACCACTTCAAGTACACAGTGATACAAGTACACAGGAAACTACACAGAACACGCAGCCTTGTTAATGTTAGTGTGATGTTTCTCTGTCACGGCAGAGAAATGAGGGAACAGCTCTGAGCTGTGAGTTTCTTTGTGTTGGAGATAAAACCATGATGACATTCCTCTATTGTCGCCCGACTGTCTTTCAACTGGAACTGTCTTAACGTCAACTTTAGATTTTGATTTATCAGATTCTGAATGATAAATGCTAAACTGTCGAGTAGAGTCAAAGCGACGTGGGTTTTTTCGAATATAAAACGTGTAATGCAGATAAATCAGCCAATGTCTGCATGAAACATTTGTATCGCACACTTATTTCAGAAAGAAAGAAATCTAATTTAGGCTCAGTGTTGTGCAGTTTAGCCAAAAGGCAAAGATAAAGGCTGATCTGACATCAGACAATAACAATTGTCCAAATGATTGAATTGAAATTTAAATTGTATTCAAACATTTTAATTTTCTGAAGCAAATGCAACAGACCTGAAAAAAATCCATAGAAGGAATGTGAGCTGAAGATAAAATAGAAAATCTTTCATGTTACTTCAGTTTAACGACGTTTTCCATCTTTTGCCGAACAGGTTCCACCTAAGTACAGCTACGGCATGTTGTTCTGCTCGTGTCCGCTCAGCGACCAGACGGCCTGCTCTGAGCGCAGGCGTCAGACCATCGTCCCCGTCTGCTCGTACGAAGAGAAGCAGAAACCCAACTGTCTGGAGCTGCAGGCCTCGTGCAAGACCAACTACATCTGCAGGTAGGAAACAATGAGCGATTCACCCTTAAACTGCGGTGATGCATTTTTATAACTTTATTAGACGGTAAAGACAGAGATGAGATGAAATACGGGAACAAACAGATGAGGTTTTTGCTGCTTTCCTAGTTTAAGTCTAAAACCCTTCGTCACAGGCTGCTGAATGAGAGCAGACTTCAGTGTCAGTCACAAACACAAACGCCCTCACTCTCAAGTATATGCACTGACTAATCACAGCAGGCTGGTGCAGAGCGGTGCGCAGTGAGAGTTGTCAGCAGCAGCCACTAGACTCCACCTGACATATGGCGAGGGAGCTTGTGGAAAAAAGCACGGCTGTAATCTATCTGTGCTAACTGACAAATGGACTGGGAGGAGGCGGCGCTGCACTGAGACCTGTTGTTCAGCCTTGAGCATATGTCTGATGCATAGAGTGCACTACGGAAGAGAAAAACGACGGGGGGGGAGGCAGGGACAGAAACTTGTAGCGTGAATTTACCGTCGCTGCTGTTAAGTGGCGACAGAGGGGGTGAGGAGAAGAGGGGGAGGGAAACCTGAGGCAACAGAGCAAATGGAGCTAATCTATGATGCTCAATGCTTCCATTTAATCCCAGGGAGCCACACACACACACACACACACCCACTTCATCAACATATGGCAAATGCATGTATTGACTTTCTTTCTCTCTTGAGGAATTAACAAAAATGTTTTAAAGAAAGTGAAAATCTTGCCTCTGCTCCAAAAATGAATGAGGTCTTCCCCGGGTTCAGGTTTGAAAATAACCTGGATCCAGACACACAAAGTAAGATCCAGGTTATCAAAGCATGTAGAGGAAGATAAAGGAGTCCAAACATTAGAGGGATCTGCTGCTTTGTGTCAAAGAGCCGGTACATCACACTCAATATCTCCTCAAACGGGGGATTTCTCTGGAACCTGAACCCCATTTCAATTTCACATGCCGCTGCACCTGTGGCAAAGTGTAAACAAACATTTGTGAAGGCAGTAAATGAAATGGAGCAGACTTGGTGGAGAATTGCCTTCAGCCTCATTCACTCCAGGATATAAACCAGCCACAGCCAACGTAAGAGGGTCATCTTACTCCACTGAAGACGACCATTAAGGGGCTAATTGCATTGAGAGCAATGACTTCCAGCGCACTCTCGTTTGGACCCGGGCATTTCGATGCACATTGGAGCCACGTTGGCCTTTTGAATCTGTTGGAGCTCTAATCATGTTTGGCTCTGACATATTTCTCGGATGTGTTGCAGGTCACGACTGGCTGACTTCTTTGTCAACTGCCAGCCGGAGCCTCGCTCGCTGTCAGGCTGTCTGAAGGAGAACTACGCAGACTGCCTCCTGGCATACTCCGGTCTGATTGGTGAGTTCACACGGACACTCGATCATTATGGGTCAGCTTTGTGTTTACTCCAGGTCTCTGTGGATCGTCGTTAATTCTCTTTTGTTTGCATATTTAAAAGATAATTCTGTTGCATTTTATTTCTACAAATTGTTTCTGTTGCTTCTAAATATTTCTACCTACAAAACTGAGAGCTACAAATCCAGAAGCTGTTGCTGAAATTAGGTCAGTGCTTGAGATGGAGTACTGGAGCTTCTGATATTTGTCTCCGAGCAAAAACAATTTTGAAATCTACTCAGGGAATGCTTGGGAAATGTATCAGCTTGTAAAATGTAAAATTCAGCATCTGCGGAGAGTTCCCCTTTGCAAACTTCCACAGAACTGCAGTGGAGCTCACACCACATTCGTCAATTCTGCGACATCAGTAGCACGAGTCGCCTGACATGACTCCGACCATGAGCAGGCACGTGATCCGACAAACAGTTCATCCAGGTTTAATAAAGAAATGTATTTGGAGTAGAAGCACAGATTTACAGTTAAGTGTCCAATTCCAATGCAAAACCCCCAAAACTACACCACTCAACATTATCGTAACATCTTTGTGGACGCGTTGTCCCTCCAGTTGATCCGATCTAGCACCAACCACAAAGTTTGATGTGCACAAAGTGGATGCAGGCAGTGAGACTGTAAACTGTGCTGACGACAGACATCGTGAGTCATAATGTAATTTCAAACTTATCTGATCATCCGAATGCTGCAGCCATAGACTGTGTATAAAGATGGACGCCATGATGGTGGGACATGATCCAGCAGCTCCATCCCCCGATCGCTACTGTGCAGAGTCTGGCTCCGAATGACGTCATTGGCCTCATATGACAGTGTTCGTATCAGGGGTATTTTTGCTTCATCTCTGGAGTGGGAGACATCCATCTTTATTTGCAGTCTGTGGTCATTACTCGTCAAAACAATGGCTGAAACTAAGGCCCATGTTTCATCTCCTGTCATGTAGCTTGGGCTGTAACCCTTGTCCCCGTCACGTCCTCGCCACCACAACAACCCCTGAGGAGTTAGTCCCCACAAGTCGCTGAACCAGACCACACAGACACACTCTGTCCACACAGCACCAGTTCATTCTGCCGACTGCAAAACAAAAAGGCCTGTTCTGGAGCGCAGCCAGCACAAGGGAACAATCCATTGAGGGAGTGAGAAATCACTGACTGAAGCTATTTACTTTCCCTCGCAGAGAGAAAGCCTATTCTTCACTCCGGCTTCTCTGCATTCTGCTTCCTGCAGAAACTCCGGCACACTGCTCCACTTCTGCACACGGGGCGGAGATAAGAAAATAAATGCAGCAATGATTTAACTTTGTTATCATTTAACACAGATGCAGGATGATAACTGTCTCCTCGAGGATTTAAATAATCTTCTTTTTCCAGCAGCACATTGGGGCTCTTGACAGCAATAATTCACAGATGATCCTTGTTTATGGATCACATTTCTTTGCCTTGACAAAGACGTATGAATGCATGAATGAAAAAACTGTTTCCCTCCACCTGCTGCAGGAACCGTGATGACTCCAAACTACCTGCGCTCACCCAAGATCAGCGTGTCTCCGTACTGCGACTGCAGCAGTAGTGGGAACAACAAGGATGAGTGTGACAAGTTAACTGAGTTTTTCACTGAGAACACCTGCCTCCGTAAGTTATCCCCCTGACCAGCTGTTGTCTTTTCTGTTTTCTATCCCTCTTTCTGAGTTCTCCTCTGTTTATTCTCATCCCACTCTGCTCAGCGGGCCCTTTTCCTGTTTTGCTCTTTTATCCTCTCTTTTCTCTTCTTGTCTCTCGCGGTCTCCCCTTCGCACCAAATATATCCCATTGCCGTGCTGGCATTGTTATCCCTCTGCATCATAAAGAAACCAGTCATACTGCGCCACAGTCTCTGAATGTGTGCGTGCCTGAAAGCTGCAGCACATCTCCTGCGTGGTAACTTGGGCAGAAAGCCTCTTTTTCATCCGGCACTGTTTAATTAACAACCCACACACACACACACACACATAAAAACACACCTACTGTATTTCCAGCCAAGATTAATGGGTTTCAGGGTATTCCTACCGAGCTGCAGCGATAAGAGCCACAGCGAGTGAGTGTTGCTGTGTAATAAGAGCTAACTTTGCTGCTTCTGACGCTACACGCAGTTTAGCAATCGTCGACAGCAGAGTTCGGGTGTAAGATGACTCCTCATTGATTCCCGTACGGAGGTCAGAACACGGGGTCATATAAACAATATCTTGCTCAAGGACACCTACGCTGAATAAATCACCTGAGCTTGGATCTGGTTTGAGAATGTTTGCTGACACGCAGACGACTACCAGGCCGGATCGTGATGCACCAAAGTTCTTTTTCAACAAATCTTTTTCCAGGTTGAAAATCCACGTTGATACCAAAGATTTAGCTCGAGATATAAAAGTGATCCTACCGTGCTGATAACAGGTATGAGGGTCAGTAAACGGTTCATTGGCGCTGTGGTGGTTGGATTTAGATATGATTAATTCATTATCATCCACAATCTACGCTGCTTTGAGTGTCATCAGGAGACATGAGGACATGACCTGATCAGAGTCTCTCTGTCTTTGGACTGTGAGAGGGAGCATATCACACATGCACAGAGGCAGCGTGAGCAGGAGAAGAAGAGCTGAAGCCAAAGCACAGAAAATGTGTCCAAGCGTTTGTCCAAAATTTGAGCGTCTAAAAGTTTTACAAAAACTGAACGTGAGATTAATAAATCCTGCTCTTAAACTGAGAGAGGGGTAAAAACAGTGAGAGCCAACTCAGAAACGCTGAGAGCATCGACACAGAAAGACGTCAGTGGAACCAGGGATGAAACAGGGAGTAGCCTCGTGTCGAACCTAACATCCCCTCTCACGATCATTCAGGTTGGAGGCTGCTGTGCAGTCAGCACTTTAGCCACTTTCATTAGCTGCAGTGACATTGGTAAACTGATCAGCTGTTGCACACTGTTAATTCAATAAACAACTTGACCAAAGGCCAAAATGAAACTTGGCTGTTGTCGACTTAATGAGCTTTCTGCAACCCATCGTCTGTTGTCAGCCAACGATCGTGTATCAGCACTCTCAAACCCCTCAGCAGCACGTTCGTGTTTTTCAGTTCAACATCACCAATGATAGGAAAAATTCTCTGGTGGTGGAATCTCTCAGATAAACCTTCATTCCTATATTTTTTTCATTATTATAATAATGGATTTGGATTTATGAGCAGATTTCATACTCTATTCAGATTCAATGAAACGAGGCGCAGTAATAGTCACAACAGAAACTCTTCTTCTCCGCAGACACACAAACAGCAGCTCAAGGCTGAAATACAAACCGTGTCCTAAGAATAGAATCACACTGCGTGATGTTTTGTCTGCGGACGTCTCACATTAACCAGGTGAACATCTGCCTCGAGGTGATCTGTTTGCTTCCCACATGTTCGATAGTAACCGTGATGTTCGCATGAGGAGGCAGGGAGATGAGGAAATAGACTGAGAAGGAAAGTGTTAGAACATATCGACTGCAATACGTCCACTTACAAACTCGCAGCAGCTGAATCGCCTCACTAATGAATCGAGTTGTGAGGTTTTCTAGTGACACACGTGTTCAGTGGGTTGAAATGTTCTGATGATTTTATGCATATGAGTGTGTGTGTGTGTGTGAGATGTGGTCGATCAAAGAGGGTTAATGTGGGTTAAAACTTTCTCTCTTTATATCTGGTCTCCGCTCTGATTCGCTGTGGGGAGCCCAGCGAATGGCAGAGCAGAGGAATACACCTCCGCTGACTTCTCATAATTAGCCTCACTTCTTTTCTCTCTTTCACCGCCTCCTTACTTCACCACCAGCACCATCCCTCCTTCTACTCGTTCTCCTCCCGCTCATGCTTCACCTCACCTCTTCCTGCTCATCCCATCTCTTTGTCTCCCTCCTCTCACGCCCCCCCCCCCCCTCTTTCTGCTCTCATTAAGCTTGCTCAGCAGTAACTGGAACTGACAACTCTGAAGATCCTGACACATGCCGGCTACAGGGTCATGACTAAAGAGAACCTACGAGAGAGAAAGAAAAGACGAGGAGAGAGAATGAGAAAAGACGAGTAGAGAGAGGGCTGTTATATTTTTTTTATCATTGTTAACAGATTTTTCCTGGGTGGATATAGCTGGCGCTTCATTTCAGATCGTACTGTGAATGGAAACGTATTGATATCAGCATCCTCTTCTGCAGAGGTGTGAACGCACCCTTATCAGAAACACTTGAACATAGTGGGAAAGTACTTTGACCTTTTAGTTTGTTCCATATCCCATCTACCAACCTGGAGGAGGCAGGGTTTGTGACCTATACTGCAACCAGCCACCAGGGGGTGATCCTGATGATTTGGCGTCACATCTGTCATTTCGTCCATCTTTCTTCGGAGTCAATGATGCAAACAGAAATTAAAACCCCCAAACATTGGTTATGTTCATTTGAACCAAATGTTCCCCTCCTGCGTCTCCTTGTCATCATGTGACTTCTTGGAGGCGTCCCCACCCCCAGGTTTCAACCCACTGCTTTAATATTCTCAGGAACACATTTGGTATTCCGATAATTTAATGTATTCAAAGCTCGTCCAGTGTTATGCCTCCTCGTTTCTAGAATAACACTGACTATGCAAAGGTCACAGCATCCAACAGGATCATAATTCTAGTATTACAGAAAACCTTGTTCATGTAAAGTGAGATAAAGTGGTAGACATCCGCGTGAGGCAAACTCATACCGCTAACCCAGATATCTGCAGCGGTGGGAAGATGATATCATGTTTGCTCAAACGCTGTTTGCACTGGTGAAGGATAAATTAATGTTTGGTTTGGAGCTTAAAAAAGGTGTGTTGGAGTTTTTATCTTTCAACGACCAAGTTTCAGAGTTTTAAAGCAAGGATAGTCGTGGGTCGACACGTGGTGGTTTTATGAATTTAGGATTAGTCAGAGGTTTGGCTTCTCGGTTTCTCTTGATCCAGGAAGTTCAGTCGCCCACAGCTCATCAGCTAACAGGTCTGTGTTTCATGTCCCCAGCTCAGTCCATTATGATTGTTGTTGCTAGTCAACTAAAATGCTTTTCAGGGGAAATGTGTTGATGTCATCCTTTCTCAGAATCGATGATGCAGCTCCCAGAGGAGCATCGCATCACCTTACATCGTTGGTTTACTGGCTTCAGTGAGACATTTTAAAAAGAACCTCACGATTTGAGTGTGATCCTTGTCTTCATTTTTTAAACTTTAAACACCACCGATCAGATTTTAAACCACTGATGGACCTCATTTTAAACACTCATACTGAAGATGCAGTGGGCAAGGATTTCATGCGTGTAGAAGTACAATCATATAAGTGGGTGTTATCACTGTACTTTGGCGTATTATACCTGACCACACGCCAACGTCACGACCCTTCTACAAACCGATCAGTGTCAAGTATGTTTATTATGACGACAGGACGTAGGTATGTCAGACAAAATTCTTTAGTCCCTAAATTACAAGTGAAACCAGAACTAACCAGAACTGTGGAGCAAACACACGAAGCGTGGTTCAGACTCTCAGGTGTGAAAACGTCCTCTGTGTGATCCTGGAGATTACAGCCTCAGTACACTAAATATTCCTCGTACAGCATAGTGTGTTCGTTCCGTCTGCAGTGGCCGCAAAATCATTTTTATTAATTCTGATTTAACAGTAGCAGAGGTGCCATGTCCTCGGCACTGAATCCAGTGTGAAAAGACATTAACTCCACAGTATGCGCTCGGGTTTATTATCCAAACACACTTTAAAGATTAGTGCAATGTACTTAAAGTAGGTCCTTCCCTTCTTGAAGTTTAATCTGTGTGCAGAGCAGTGAAACCGAAGAGCTCCCGTCCTAACTTTGTCAGTGATGATCCCATTTTCACCGAACTCCTGGTGAATAAATATGTTCTGGTCATTCCAGAGGTGGACTCAGCAACACCAGGACTCCACTTTGTCTAAGATTAAGAGTAACGTTTATTAAATGTGCAAAGTGAACCTTACTCAGAGGTTGTTTCTAGGTCGGGACAAGTTTAAGCCACAACCACTTCTGCAGGGGGAAGGAAAATAAAGACAAGCAGGAGGACGAGACCCTGCTGTGTTCTGTGGCTCTGAACAACATGTGTTTAAGTGTCTTCAAACACCACTGAGTTCAGTCCAATTAACACGATGTCTCGTCTTAAAAAAACACTAATCCAGTGACGGGCAACCTTAAGTTACTCCTCGAGGAAATCCATGTTCTTCTAATGTCTTTCAATCAGAGCTGCAATCAGACGCTAAGCTGTTGTTGACACTGAGTTTGGAGATGCCAAGTGCACTCTCCGAAAACCCCGGTTCCTCTTTCGTTAGGAAACATCGTGAACTAGGTCAGCAGGAATAAGGGAACGCTGGCATATGTGCAGAGGGAAAAAAAAAAGACTGTAAGTAAAGGGTCACTGACGAGAGAGCAATCAATCATCCTTTGAGAACATTTGAGGGATTTTATGTTTCCAGTTGTGCTACAGCAGCTCCCTCGACCCTGCGGTGAAACTTTATGGCTCGAGGACGTCACAGTGCTGAGGTTCAGACCTAAATCAGCAGATTTGTTGACTTCAGACTGACAAAAGAGAACAAAGAGACGTACAAGTCAGTGTTGAGTGTTACTGGCAGTTACTCACCAAGACTTCATATCAAGAGTACAACTGGAAAAGACAAAAAAACAAAGATTTTGCTTTGCAGCATCTGTGCAAGACTTTAAAACCCACCTGTTTACAAAATCTTTTGATCCCTGGAGTAAATTACCTGCAGCAAACACTCTCATTGTTATTTGCTGTTCTTGGTTTATTTTAATTTAATTTCCTTTATTACCTGACTCTGTAAAGCAGAATTTGGTATACCTCGAAAGGTGCCGTATAAATCCAAGTTATTATTCTTGTGCTCTTGTGTTTACTGGATGCCTACATTTCCCTCAGGATCTGTCTGTCTGTCAGTATTATGATCACGTCTGTCCACAGTCATTCCTAAACACAGGTTTTCATATGATTAAACATATAACTTTGGATTTTTAATACATTTTGTATCAGATTTGACGAATGGTTCAATGAAAAACAACAGACGGGTGAATATTTCTGCTTGTATGGAGACAGATCCATGTGTCTTTGCACACGTATGTGGGGTCAAAGGAGCCATTATGCAGATGGTCTCTTCCTCCCTTCACAGTATCAGGGTCATAATTCACTGTTGGAGGGAAGAATATCATTACGTTCACAAAGCATCTCTGTTAAGCTCAGCTTCCCTCTGATGTGTGTGTGTGTGTGTGCGTGTATGTGTGTGTGTTTTACATCAAAGCCATAGAAAGCTATTAATAGGGCCACTAATGGACTCTAATGGTAAATAGCCACATCAGCACTCAGGTTTTTGACTGTGTGGTGAATTTATAATGGAGGGAAGTGATAACAAACCCTAAGTACCTTCTAACTCACCTTTAATTGTGGTTTAGGCCGTTGCAATATAAAGCTTTATTTTAACATGGGGACTAACAAGCGCGTGATTCACGATAGGATCCAGTTTGGTGCTAAAGGGACCTGCTTGAAAATTACGACGTGGTATTTGTGTTGTTGGAAAGAAAAGCTTAACCTGTCTCAGCGAGAGACTCGTTAGAATCGTAACTTTTCTGGATCGTAAGAAAGACTTGAACCAATTAAAAGTATCAGAGGGGGAGAAACATGCACACTATACTATACTGTGTAAACACTATTTATATTTACTACTTACTATAGTTTCCCTGTCACAGTTTTACAATGACAATATTTACACACAAAAAAAGATCTCTAGCATAGTATACACACACACACACACACACACATCTAACCCCTGTTAAAACATCCATAAAGTTTTTACCATTCTTGGTAGACAGGTATTTTGTCCCTTTTCATTTCTGTACTTATTTCAGAATTTACTTGAGTACCACAGCTGACAGATTCTGTCCCCCCCCCCCCCCCGCTCTGTAGGTAATGCCATTCAGGCCTTTGGGAACGGGACGGACGTGGGAGTGTGGCAGCCGATGTCCCCCGTCCAGACCACCACCTCCACCACCACTCACTACCAGAGGAACCACGAACGCAAACCCAACACTATTGACAACCACATCAACACAGACCCTGGGATTTACCACTTCGGCTGCAGCCTACAGGTGAGGCTCACGCACCGGCTCCGGCTGGTTCTGTTGTCAGAGGACGATCGGATCCGAAAGAAACATTTCAGAAAGTTTGTTTTCTCTGTAGAAAGAAAAGATTTCACACACGACTCAGGTGTCAGAGTTTCCGCTGCTCTTTATCAGAGCTGCTCGCCTCTCCATCCTTTTCTATACGTCTCTCTATCTGTATAATGTGTCTCCGGTGTCTGTTCATCTGCTGCTGCTCTCTGTTTCTTTTGCATACCTCGCTGCCTCTTCATCCTCGGGTTCACTCTCCATCTCTGTTTGCTTTCAGGCAGACTGATTTGTTTTTTCCAGAGCTGTCACAATACAAAATCCAGTCCAGTCAAAGCAGTGAATTAAATGCTGCAAATAAAGTGAGAGTTGTTGGGAGGAAAACGTAGCAGTGAAACATTCAGCAAAGCAGAGACGATGGGAAGTGAATACTGAACTTAAATGGAATGTTACCGTTACTCTATTATTCTATACAAGTAATAACAGTTTGATAGAACAGGACAATATCTGTTCTGTGGGAAATTTCACAATTGTGGTTTCGGGTTCCAGGTTTACTGGTTTGTAAAAAAACTAAATAACAATTGTAAATGCAAAACTTCTGCAAAGTCAGAAGCTGAAAAAGCTTTAACCAAGTATTTCAGACGGAGGCTGAAGAGAGAAGCTGCAGTAATAAACGATTAAAACCACATTAAACCTTCTGGTAAATATTTGAAAACATATTTTAGTCTAATTTGGTTTCTTCGTGATAATAGTGTGTAAATATTCCCAGATGTTATTCGTGTCTTTGAACAGCAGGATCTGTAAACTGTGGTCATCAACACTAAAAACATAATGTCATGAAAGCAAAGGTACATTTCTTAATGTTTATTTTGAAGTGGTTCAGCACAGAGATTTTCCCGATAACTCTCCATAACCTTTTCTCTGGTATTCGTCCTTAACATAATTTATAATAATTAGTATATTTTGCACCTGGCAAGACTCTTAAAGTGTATTTCTCTGTTGGAGCCTCCGTGGCTGCTCCACAGGAACAAACAGCCGTGTGGATGATGAAACACTCAACTTATCCACAGCAATCCTGAACACTGGTGTGGGGAAGCTCCCGGGTCTGGGAGGAAGTGAAGATAATACTGTCATTACCAGCGGAGCGAGACTCCGAGAGCTGCTTCACCCAATAATATTACGGCAACCTGATGCAGCATCATGAAACCACTGAAGTTGTTAATTGTTTACAGACACTCACATAAAATCCTCCTGCAACTTCAAGCTGAAATCCACCTTCGGATAAACAGCAGTTTTTACTATCAACTCCACGTCTTCTGCTCATTTTGTTATTGTTCATGAACACCCACAGACTGTCCGCAGCTCCACTCACGCAAACATTAAAAACATATGAAACTAATTTACTCACTTCTCCGAATAAAAGTTTTCACTGTTTATCAGCCGATCACCTGAAACTAAAACTGCAAATCTTAAAATGCTTCACTTGTCATTAAATTGCAAATCGTTATGTGTTGCAAAGATCAGTTCCATATTGATGCATGTATATATTTAAACATATATAATACTGATATACAGGTGACACTGTAGTATGCAAAATGCGAACAGCATGAGAAATACTTCTTATTACTTATTATAATAATGTACTTATATTTTAACAGCAACTTAATCATCTTACGAGTCTTGTTTAGACCTGAATCACAGATTGTGACTTTGACTTCATGTCCATGATTATTTTTATCAAAACAAGATGAGAATTTAATATTAGTTTTCCAACAAACACCTACACACACACTGTAAGTTGAGTTCTCCCAGTCTGATAATGTCTAGAAATGCAATTACACACTCATGCCTGCAGACACAAATACACATACATGCGATTACACCCACTCGCTTAGTCACACACACACAGTTTGCACTGATAATGAGCTTTGCTGGTGTACTGGTGCGTGTGTGTGTGCTGTTGGCTCTGCTCTGATAACACGTCGAGTACAAGTTAATGAGGGAGAGGTTGTGTTGAACCACTTTTCTACTGTGTGTGTGAGTGAGTGAGTGAGTGAAAGAGAGAAAGAGATCAATGAGCAGAGTGGAGTCCTCTGACATGCCTGTCCCCTGAGAGTGTCATTACAACGGCATGCATGCAAACGCACAAACACACACACGCATGTTTGTATCTCAGTGAGGACACTCATCGTCGTAGTATCTTCTAACTCTCACCTCAACCCTTCAGGAGGTGAAACAGATTCAGACCCGTGTTCAGACTTCTCACTTTATGACGTCAGTTAACTTTGTCCTCAGGAGTTTTTGTCTCAGTCTCTAGTTTCACGTCTTCTTCAACTCAGCTGATGTTCATTTATCAAGTTCTGATCATTTAGAGTCAAACAGACCAGAAAGCACCGAGCCACACCGGTGTGATTGACACCTAGTATCCTCCAATAGTTGCAGGCGGCAGGTGGGCGTGCAGCGTCCTCGAGCTCCGAGTCGGGGCTCCACCCCCTTCTCTTTGAAATATGGTTATTTCTCTTTTAATAAAAAACAAGATGGCGCTGGAGACAGTGTCAAACTGAGGCTTCAAACTGCTCAGAAATCAACGGGTGGCGTCACGATGGGTTGACACTTGAAGATTTTCTACTTCATCTTCTTTTGTTCTTTACTCTTCTTTTCATTCTCTCACTGTCTCTTCTGCCGTGTTGTGGCTCTGTGATGTGAATGTTGTGCAGAGTGAAGCTGAGCTTGGGCACGCAGCAAAGCCGCCACAGATAAAAACATATGCATGAATGCAGACACACACACACGCACTCGTACACAGCTCTATACATCTATATGTATTTGCAAAGCCCGGGGCTCCGTCGGCTTGTTCTCATGAATATCGTTGACTCCAGAAGCAGGCAGGAAGTGCCCGCGACAAATATGGAAATCTACCACATGCTAATGTGACTTTTCAGAACAGGCAGGTTTTAGGCAAATCTGAAGCAAATGGACACAAAGCAGCAATAAACATGCACATTTAAATTTGTCCAGATGTTTTTTTGAAGTGGAAATAAGCATCGGTTTGTTTAAAATACTATAGAATCCTTAGAGGATTTAATGTAATCACGAGCGAAGGAGGCGTGATGTGATTTAACGGGTCATTTCTCCCTGTGATCTCATGCACGTAGTCTTTGCTTTATTTACCAGGGTTTGAGTCAACGTCTGTCTCAGGCGATATTTCAGATTCCACCCCAACATAACGCAGGTCAATGGAATCTTATCTGCGGTGATTGGAAAGATAAACATTTCAGAATTCCGGCAGCGACTGCATGAGCCTGAATAATCCTCAGAACAAAGTGTAAACAGTTTTTAGAACTTCTTTCAACCATCGACTGTAAATAAACTTTTTGACCTGTTAGTTGAATGTTGTGTATTTTTAAAGTTGTGCGATACTTTTTTGTCCTGTGGAGTCACAGATTGTTGCTTTAATTATCTTTTGTTATTTCAGTAGGAAACAACTTCTAAGTTCCTGCTTCTTGATCGCTGAATTAGTTTTAAAAACACAATGAATTCGCTGCAGCGGCAGATGGAGTCTGAATGGGAATCGCAGTTTCAACGATCACATTTGTGTAATTTCAATTTCTGAATGTTTTGGCTGTGAAACACAAACAAGGAGCGCCTTCGGGATTTCAGACTTTCAGCAACGAGCTGTGAAAGTTTATTATCGTTATCTTCTCTCTGTGTTTGTGTCTGAGAGGTGAAAATGTTTAATTCATCCCAACCATGACTCCAAACACAGATGGAACCTGAAACACAAACTGATGTGTTTAGTCATCATGTTCCTCAGACCACTTATATTTTCTGCTTCCACGCTTAGAATTCTTGGCTTGTTCGTCACTTTGGGTCTTTTGTACAGAGGCCATGATTTATAGACATCGTTCCACACAAGCTTTGGATTTCTACGAAGCAGAGGTGCATTAACAGAGCAAGGTTTCTTATTCGTTGAATTTCCATGGCCGCTACATCCTGTACATCCCTATTTTAGGTCTGGAATCACTGTAGTGTGCACTGGAGCCATTTATTATTCTGTCACACCTAGAGCCTGAGCACACACACACACACACACACACACACACACACACGAATACCCAGAAACCAAAGCTGGAGTTACATTCACTTACAGCATGAACCAAATGGGTTGATGGATGATGGATGACCTTCACAGGTCATCAGAAGCAAAGGGAAATAAAAAGACCTTCTATTAGGCCACAAAAATAAAGTGTGTTTATGTGTGTGTGTGTGTGTGTGTGTGTGACAGTGACTGAATGATAAATCTGGTTCTGTCTCTCTGGGCTGAGCCTCTCGCTTCGTCTCTGAGTGTAAAAGTTGAACAGGCTCTCTGGGTAAAGAATCTCCAGAGTTACCGTTGTTGTTTTTTCAGCCGAGCTCTGGTTTCTGCCTCGGTGATCCGATCACACACACACACACACACACACACACACACACACACACTCACACAGACACACACTGATGGTTATCGGTATTTTAGTCGTTTAGCGTTTGAACGCTGGTGTCTGTGTGTTGTTTGTACCTGGTGTGTAAATGTGCAGAATATTTTAAGTGTAATTAGTCTGTTAATTGCTCCATTGATTGTTGATCAAAGCAAATGAATCACTGTCGAGTCGCTGCTCAGTCTCCGCGGGCCGAAGCTCCAAACCTCTGCTGCTGTTCAGTTCCTGAAACAAAGATGATCTGTGATGAAATGAACTTATTCACTGTGGACGCTGAGTTCAAACACGTGATTCTTTGATTTTCTGTTTCAGGCTCAGAAATTGAAGTCGAACTCAAGTGTGGGTGACGTCTTCTGCGTGGTAAGCTTTTTGTTGATTGTATGATGTAAATACATTTTGGGAATTTTATAACTGAATAAAAGGTCATGTATAAATGAAGAGAACAAATTCTGGTTGATTTAAAACTATGGGGACAAAACACTTCACTGTGAAATACAATTATCTTGATTTCAGGCCCTGAAAAGTCATAATTATGATTTCAAAGCTCTTTAAACTGTTGGATTATAATTATGTTTTCTAGTATTGATGTGAATTTGGTCTTAAATCACATTTATGGTCTTATCCCAGTCAACAAAAGTATCTCACAACTCAAATCTCAAATTGTGTGACCTTCGCCAAAATAAGACACCCACAGAAAAACATAAAATCTTGTAAATTAAAAGACTTGTTGTCTGAGTTATAAAATCATCACAGACCCTGATCCTGCGTCTCCTCGCGGCCCCTCCTGCCTCCTTCGTAAACTCCTGGTCTTTGTACTTCCTTTGAGGCTGGAATGGGATTGTTGCTTATCTGCTGGCTTTTAAAGTTCACTGCAAATGTCATTGTACAATAATAAGGCAGCGTTATGCACTGGACTGACATTTAATAGAAGCAGCGACAGGTCTCGAGGAGATGACCCAGCCCTGAGCTCGCTGCTTTATTAGCGAGCCAGAGACCGTGGCTGAGGCTCTACACACACACACACACACACACACACAGAGACTCACAAATGTGGTTTTTAGTTTCCCGCCGTGGCCTTTTACCACAGAAACAACCTTTTGATTTTTCACCGTGTCACAGCAGATGAATTTATTAAAGATTTTATGGATGATATTATTCAATTAAGAGGCCTAATGTCTTCTCACGCGGCTGTGGCACCGGGGGTTGGACGGGTGGTCCACTAATCAGTGGTTCGATACTCAGCTTCTGCAGCAGACATCATGCTGACATGTCCTGAAAGCACTGAATAATTACGTGTGATTGAGACCTGCAGGCCGTTCCACTGAATTGACCTATTACTTGGAAGAATGACAATGGCAGTTGATTTTATTCATCAAACGGTTGTGAAACTTTATTACGTCACAATCTGGAAAATCAGACCAGGTCTTAAAACGAGGGCTTTGATTCAGAGTCTGGATCCAACGACCCGACCACAACTAACATTTATTCCAGAAATGAAAAAGACAAATAACAGAAATAAATAATAATAATAAATAATAAATATATACATGTACAATTTTACTACATATTCAATGTAATATAAACTTTACTGATGCAAAGTATAAAATATAAAACTCGAAATGAGGCTTAAGCTTCTGTCCCAGCAGCTCAAAGATCTATGAAACACGATTTCATTTCCTGTATCTGTTAATTAATGGAGCATCGTGTCCTCTCCGTGTCTGACCCTCAGAATCCTCAGATCGACAGTCCGGGTACGTCCAACGCCATCCTGAAAGACTCCGCCTCCTCCAGACGGCCAGGGGCCCTGACCTCTCTGCTGCCCCCGCTGCTCTGGCTGTGGTACTGCAGCCTGCCGTCACGCTCCCCCCCGGGCGACTTGTAGCCTCGACGCTCCAACGAACTGACAAACACACATTTGTACAAAAGAAAAAGCAAAACAAGAAGTTCGATGCTTTCTTCTCGGTAAAACCTGTTGTACTTTTATTTCCCTCTGGAATCTGTGTCCACTTTGATTCGTACCTTGTTTTTGTTTGTTTTTTATGAATCTTTGAGAAGCTTCGTTGTTTTATGGGTTTTGTTTCTTTGCATCGCAGCTGTGTGCTGAAGCAGTGATCTACTATATCTACTCGGTTTGGCTGTGTGTTCCCTTCTCGGTTAGTTGAGAAAAAAAAAAACAAAAAGGGATTCAGAGCTTTCGTGTTGCTCACTCGGGCAGAAATGACGAAGTACTCGAGGATTAACATTCCAATAAACCACAGCTGGTGGCTCTCGGATCGGTTCACACGATGTAAATTCACATTGATCTTCACAGTCGTCCAATCGGCCCCTCCCCCCCTCCCCCCGTCTGTTTGTGTGTTGAGGCTATAGGTGGGATCTTTCGCTTAAAAGTCACAGTCCGTCAGTATCGGCTACGTTTCATCCCGCGGGCGACTCGTTAGGTGTTGTTCTCTCTCTCTCTCCTGTGGTTCGTGATTGTTTTCGTTAATGACGTGATGTTTTAAATTCTCCACGAGCCGAACGAAAGGTCGACGTCGATATTTACCTGAAATTTAAAAATATCACTCGAAAGTTTTTTTAGTTTCCAGGGTGAACGCCAACGAACCTGAACATCAGAGAAACATCTTCGCCCAGACCGTAGCTCAAGCTGAACACACGTCGCCTCTGGCAAAAGCACACAGGCGAGGACCCACACACACACGTACCGCACACGTTCACACACTCAGACACACACAGGAACGCACACCGCCGGGCCCTCCTTCTTTTTGAACGCACTGTTTAGCCGGCAGAGTGATTCCTCTCTGCGATCACGCGCTGCTGTGGACGTTTGAATCCGCTCTGCTCATTAGTGATTGTACATACGTGTAACTGTTAGAAGTCAAAGCCATGTTCAGTGTTTCTATATGAGAAGTGAAGCTGCCGCTGCAACTTCACCTCAACCTGTGCCGTCTTTTTTATTGAGTTTTGATGTATCTCGCTGCGCCGAGTCGCGAACCAGACACGAGCCGAGGACGCCCGGACGCTTCCCGTCGTCGAGTGAATTCAGTGGAAACGAAGCTTCTTCATTTTTCGCGTCTTTGTAACGACTCATTGCCTCAATTGCGAAACCGTCGACACGTTTTTTTTTCTGGAAGCAATCGCGTTGAGTTGGCCGTTTGCTGGGCTCCGCCTCCTTCAGTCACCGTCCAGACACTCTGCAGCGCCAACGCAGTTTGACCGTTGAACCTGCGGCAGAGTTCAGGAGACAGAAGTTAAATTTTACATCGTGACCGTCGAATTGTACGAAGTGAAAACATTAGAGCTGTTTTATTATTATTATTATAGCAAATGGTCAAATATTAACTTTTCTCTTGTTCTGAAAACTACGAAAACACGTGATTTCAGTTTTTCGTTTTTTATCGTACGTCTGCTCCCGGTGACTTCTGGGAAAAATATATAAACGCCACAGCATCGGTTCAACGTTTGATTCTCAGACAAAGACGATCGTCTGTTGTCATCAGCTTCTCTCCCCCTCGGAGGAAATCCGAACTTTGCGGTCGGGACGTCAACGTACGTCGACGTTGAGCATTAGCGGCGCGCTGCTTCAGTTTACGTAGCTTCTCAGAACACGGTTAATGTATCGTAGAACTTCTGTGTTATTTACTGAGCGTTAACATCGTATATGCACTGTATGTACTTGGCTGAAACTATAAATCGGACAAATAAATGTCCGATGATTTTCTGTTCCAGAGCATTGTGAGCTATTTTGACATTCAGATACTACGTTGAATACGCCAGAATATTGTTTTTTACAACAACCTATAATATGTATATTTCTCCCGGTATGTACATGATTATGGAATATTACTGCATCTGAGAACGAGGATATCAATGTAACTCTAGTTAAACACGGCTGTATTTCCTCAGCTTATACTTTTGTACCATAGCCCCGTTCACCACACTGCTTAACTAAAGTCTTGTTTTTGGTTTTTTCGGCTGAGATTTGAACTTATTTTTCTATCTTTTACGAATGTTTACTGCGGATGAATGGAACGAGACGGACCGGCCCCAGATTGCTCTGATTTAAATCGCTCCTCTGATTTTTGTTGGTTTTTTTTTACAGACTGTGCCGTCGGAAATGATTACTTTGGTTTTACTGCTGAAATAACGATGGTTTGAAGAAGAGAGACGATTGTTGTTGCATGGTGACTGTGAAGGAAAGATAAATATATTCTATACCATAACATTCAAAAGGTTTTTTAAGGTGTATTTGACCAGAGGTGGGCGAGTGGGTTCAACCCCACAGACTGAATGTGTGGATGAGAAGCTAAAGAGACGAGACGCTTCAGGACAAATTTCTCTTCTTGTGTCTTAAAAAGCAACTGTTGATTTTATATTTGAGTCCCAGAGTCGTGTCTTTACAGGCGCTGGAATATAAGAGATGGTTTAAAGTTCCTCGGGTCAAACGGGGGCACTTCCTCCTGATGTTAGGAAAATAAAAAAAGATGGTTGATATGTTCGTCCGTCCCATCTGTCGTTTTAAAACACCAGACATGGCTTCTCTGGAGACTCCCTCAGCACTCTGGCATCATTAACCTCTTAGCTTGTGAAAATGTAAAATCTATTGTACAAAAAGTTATAATTAAAAACTGTCAAATCACCGACGCTGTTTGCACGTGGTGTTTATTTCCCAGAACAAAGGGGACAAATAGAAATGAGCTGCAGACGCCTGGGGGATGACGGACAGGCTGCGGCGAGGATGAGAGCGGGTCCGAGGTCAGGCGGCGTGATCCCGAGACGACGATAAGACGTCGTGAGTTAATGTCAATGACCTCAGGTCACAGAGCGGAGAGAAGAAAGATGAAGAGAGAAGAGACGAGAGCAGATAAAGAAAGTTTCTCATGTTTGGACGAAGAGAAACAGGAAGAATCGTTGAAGTTCATCCTTTAGAAAAATCATTTTTTCACCTCAGCCTTGGTCCAGAACTGAAACATGAATCACAGTCGTCCGTCTTTATTCACTCTCTATGGTTTTGATCAAGCTCTTGAGACTTTAACCTTTTTTGTTATTATTCGTTTTATAATT